TGTCAAAATTATTTGGAGAAATTACTTTCGAAAAATAAAATTTGATGTGTCCTGTAACTATAATTTTATATTATATAAATAAAAATATGTTTTTAATCAAATTATTCTTTGAAGTTTTAACATAAGCTAAACTTTTTTATTAAAAAATCAATATTAATCTAAACAAAATATTAGGGTTTCGAAGAACTCCGTAAATACGGCAACGCTGAATATCTTATTTTACGAATTTACAATTTTTATTAATGAAATGTAGTACCGTAACCAGCCGCAACGTTGCCAATCAGGTCTAACCACAAAGCACATAGAGGTTCCACGTGAATGACCAAGGTCAAAACCGACAACTGACATTTTTTATGCTATTTGCTCCAAACTCTAGATGGGGCTACTGGTGAAATTATGATTTCTTACTCCATTTTTAAGCCTTATGGGAGAAAAACTTAACCAAAGACTCCAAAGATGTGACGTGTATTTATTTATGTTCTTGGTTAGTTTCATTTTTCCGTCTGATTTTAGTGATTTTTTGTTGGCTTTGGCTTTTGGTTTCTGTTTATAGTTTCGTCTTGGTTATTTGCAAAATTGTGATGTTTCGCTTTTTTATTTCCTACTGTGTTTTGCAATAATTTTGGTGCTACGTTGAAAACTTCGAGAAAAACTTCATTGATTCACCATATATTCACCATGCATCCGCATCATAAAAAGACAAACGGGGACAACAATTAATTGATAATCAATTTATCACTGGACTAGATTCCGAAATCTGTATCACCATCTGTATTTGGAAGGAAAATACCTATTTATCATTGAATGAATAGTTAAAAGGATTCACCTTTTAATACAATATTACATTTGTCCTCAGTTAAAAAGACATTTATAAAATATATAACTTTAGTGTTAATAAAATGTAATATCCTAGTCTCTACTTCACATTTACATTATTGATAGGTATTTTAAAGATTTGAGATTATATATCTATTTGCTCCAAGTAAGTATTCGTTAAATATGTATTATTATTTGTATTTATTTTTATCTAATAATATTTATTTAATTTATTAATAAACATATTTTAAGAATGTTCTATTTTATTATTTATTGATATATCTTATATTTATTTAATAAAAATATGCAGAACAAACTCTCCACAATAGACCCCTTATAACAAATTAATTCTTCAAATTTGGTATAATCGACCTAAAGTATTTTGTAAAATAAAAGTTTCGAACTTACTAGTTCCACACTTTATTTTATAAAATAATTTATGTGGAAATCATTTAAAATTTAATTTAAAACTACTACCTACTCCTAAAAATTACAATTTGAATTTACCGCCATCTGTCAATTGTCATTTTAGTTCCAGCTCCAAACACAAGGTGGCGCTAATTTGGTTTAAAAGTTTAACATTGGCGTGGGGTCTCTAGAAGATACATGCTTTGTGGGTCTAACAGTTCTTATGTATTTCTGACAGTATCTGACAGTTTCTGTGTGACTTATTGATTTATTCATTTATAAAATACTATTTTTGTGAACTTTTGTGAGAAATATAAAGAATTATGGTACATGCATGTGTAGTGTTCAAAAAGGTAGATCATTTAAGTCGAAATGTATGGTTTCATCGGTAAGTATTTTTAGGTTAAGATATGTTGTTTTCATTTGAACCAGTGGAGTAGGGATTGTACAAGATTTGATACAATTTCTTATAGAATTTAAATTATATAGGATCACATAGTAAATTGTTTGAAAAATTATTATCCAATCTAATTTTTCAGACAATTTACTGCAGGTTTGATAATATACAATTTAAATTTACAAGAAATTGTATCAAAAACTTGTGTAGTCTAAAACAGTCTTAAAACAGTTTTTAAAGTGATATTCCTTTTATAAATTAGAGTAAATTATACCAATAAATAATTATTGAATAGTGGCAAAGAAAATTAAACGTAAAATGTAGAATACCTTAAAAATGATTTACCTATTGAGCACCTATACATATTTTTTATTACTCTATTTAGGTTTCCGCAAGTTCCTGAGAAAAGAAAACTTTGGTTTTCTCTAATAGAAATCCTTGAAAATCAGCCCCTTCGTAAAAACCCAGAGTTGTGTTTAGAACACTATTTTCCTGAAAATGTTTTGGAACGTGCAAATGGTACTAGATATATTAGAAAAGATGCAAACTCCAGACGATGTGAGGGCTTTCTATTTTTGGATGACTTATCCAACAGGTAAAAATACAAAATATTAATTTTTTGTTTACCTCTAAACATTATTTATTACCTATATGTATGTATATCTAATGTATGGGTTTTTAGTCCTGATTCAACTGTTTTTGGAACACCACCTGCTGCAAAAAGAAACGTTGCAGTAAGTTATAACATTAATAACTAAGCATAAAAAAATTAAATGAAATTTTAGTTAATAAAATTAAAGTATTTTATATATTTAAAACATTATTTTAAAAAATTTTACAGTTTTTTTACGATATTTTTTGCCATACCATGTTTTTTTGTAATTATTAATTAAAAAATTATATATTTTTAGGACAGTGTTTTATTTAGATACCCCTACCTACTTAATGTTAATTTAAAATTACAAATAATTTTGGTTAACATCATACCAGGCAAATAAATAGTAAATGCCAATAAACTATAAACCAATAAATATTAAAAATCGAAAGGTAACTTGAATTCGCTTGTATTTGAATTTACTTGTACTTGAATTTACCTACATGAAAAATCAGCAAGTATCATTCAAAACTATTGTCATATACTCTGAAGGCAATTCTCTCACCAGAAATCAAATCACGACTGGTGAAAGACTGTCTAGAAGACCTGACAGAGCTCAGTAGTTAAAATAAGGTGACCTTAGCCTGGGTTCCAGGCCATGAGGGATATCAGGGCAACGAAAAGGCCGACGAATTAGCCCGAGGAGGCTCAGATAAGGCCATGACAGGCCCCGGACCCTTCTGTGGAGTTGCTAAGGCATTGTGCAAGGCATCCATTAAACAATGGATGCAAACAGAGTCTCAGGAATGGTGAAACAACTATCCAAGACTGAGACAGGCCAAACAGTTCATCAAGGAACCATCTGCGAAGTTCACGAAAGACCTACTGGATCAAAAGCGTCAAATCGTTAGGATAACAGTAGGCCTTCTTACTGGACACTGTCGCCTCAAAAGGCACACGAGTGTCATAAATCCAGCAGAAGAAGCAACTTTGTGCAGGTTCTGTGAAGAAGAAGAGGAAACAATATTCCACGTCCTGTGCCAATGTGAATGCCTGGCTGGAATGAGGTTTCTAACATTGAGCGAAGAAAAGCCAATTGCATGCAACTACATGCGGGAGCCACTGTCAAAGCTACTAAGACTAATTAAAAAGACCAGGCCAGACGACATACTCTAAAACAAACAGGAGTCCCACAATAGATCTGAAAAGGTCGCGGTGGACAAGGACAAATAACGTCCAACTCATAATCTAATCTACCTACATGAAAAAATCATAATTATATTACTAAAAAAATATACCTACATATTTACGTATTTTTTTAACATACTACTCTGACAATACTGGTAAGTTTAAAACTGTACGCCACTGGCGAGCATATTATGGACACTGTTTACAACGTTGCCAGCCGGTCATAAGAGATCTGTCTTTCTCTCTTCCACTCACTAACAATTTTAAAACAATAACAGTCCGCAATTGTATGGGATTTATGAATGAAACATTTTGTCTATATGTTGTAATGTCTTTGGTTTTTACACTTTTATAAATATATTCCTAAAGTAAGTAGATAACATGCATCAAATATACAATCGTTTAGTTACCAATTACATTCCTTTAAACTATTTTTTATGACCTGTAAACAATATTTAGAAATAAACTAAAAACAGTAAAAACGTATATGTAAAATTTATTGATGTTTTTGTTAAAAGTTTGGTTAGAATTAAATGTCAGTGGAACCAAAATGACATCACTTTAAACTAGCGTATTGCCTGGAAGGTTATAAATTAGCCAATCAGATTTTAGGCTTCATTATGACGATGTTTAAAAAAACATTGTGGCACGCGTTTCAAATTTGAAAGAATTTTTTGAAATTTCAAAAAATTCTTGTAGGAAAATTAAAAAAGAAAAAAAAAAAATTCAAAAAAATATTTTTAGATTAGATTTTGTGCTAGCTTTTAGAAAAAAATATTTTTGAATTTCACGCCCATTCATATTTGTTGACTTCCCTGGTACATGGTATTTTTTTTTTTAAATGTTTAAAGTTATTATCGGGTTTTAATTCACTTAACAACTTTACTGAAGAACATTTTTTCTCAAAAATCAATAATTAGGCATTCCAAACAAAATGGCTACCAGTGGGTTTTGACAGATTATGATATGGCAAAATTATGGCATCCCTCATTGCATTCGGTCTGCCAAGTTCCTTTAACTCCTTTAACACTTTTTACTCCAAACTACCCTTTTAGCGGTCGGTTTAGTCCGATTAGTGACAGGTTAACACGCTTAAATGTCATTTAAAAGCACCCTAAAACACTCCGCTTCTGTCCCGCTCCAGCCCCTGACTATCCGACTCGCCTCCTATAGGCCTGGTGATTTGACAAGGTCAATGAAATAGTTACATAGATTGTTCATCCATATTTTGCAAAATAAACATAAGCTTATGCCTTGAAGTAAAAATGTAGGTAATTATTTTTTTTACTATATTCGAATGCTAAATATTGGTTTGTAAACATATTTTTGCAAAATCGATTCTGATTAGTGAGCTCTTGTGAGGCAATATGGCTGCTCGTAAACGATCCGCTTTGAGCAATCTATATAACTACATAGGTATCATTGACCCTGTCAATGACAACAGGCTCACATGGTTGCCATATCTATAGGTCAGTTCCCACTTGTCAGCAGTTTGAGAGGTCATTGGAATGCCCAATAAAAAGTGTTTAATATGGTGAAAACATTTTTGAATATTTTTTTTTATATATTTTCAACTTATTGAAATTTACCACTTACCAAGATGTAAGGTGCGGCATTTTTATTTTTATAAATATTTGATACCAATCTATTAAAATAAGGATAATTGTCATTCTTGTCACCGAATTTCTTCAAGTCTTCTTCACAGTCACCCTTTATAGCCTTAAATCCCGATTTTACTCCTTTTAGAACTGCTTTGAATGCGGGAAAAGCAATTCCTAGGTCATACCAAATGTTCGCTTGCATTCCTTCACATTCCCACTTATGACATTCATTCCAAGATGTTAATCTACACTTTTCATTGCAGTACACGCATAATGTACAACTGGCACATCTGAAAATTCACGTATTAGTACAAATTTTAATGATATGGGTTAGTTTAAACACTTATTTATATCCCCTTTTTCTAATTTGTGTTTCTAATAACTCTTGTAAATGTAGTCTAGGGACAGTAAAAGAAATAATATCAAATATAATTTAATTTTGTTTTTTTATGAACTAGGTTAGACTGTTTAGATAATAAACTAATCATGTTTCTGTATCTATAAGGTGGATAGGTTTGGCTGCCCTACAGTACTTAGGCCTTATTAGGCCAATTGTGCAACTTCCTGAATGTATAGGCCTTCTCTTAGCTCATCAGTCAGCCTACAGATTTAATGTAGTTGACATCATGTTGATGTTTTATAATATGGGACTCATGTAGTTAGTAAATTCATCATTATTTGCGTTTTAAATTAATCACAAGAACAATAGATATATACTTACGGAATACTGCTGATGATATCTTTTAAACAGTTATAGCACTTAAAAGAATAAAATTCCTTGTTCTCCTTGAAAACAGGAGCAAAAATAAAGGCTTTTTCTATAAATAGCACCTCGCCCTTTTTAATGGGTTTAGTAGCAATTACATGTCTGCCTTTTGTTTTCTCATAGCTACAAAAAAAAAACGAAAGTTTAATTTCGAAAATGTTGCAAATAATTATATTGTTTTTATTTCAAAAACTAACCCCATTTTGACTTTTGAAGAAGCATAAGCAAAATCTTCATTTTCTTCTTCTGGAAATTCAGGTAGGTCAGTCGAATTATCTCTATGCACTTCTATGGTTTTACACTTAATTTTAGCTTTTTTGATTTGTTTTAATTTATCCAGATGTTTATCTAAAACATTTATTAAAACATGTAAGTAAATCAAAATAAATTTTTGTGTTTGTAATAAATACATGTAAGTATATTTACCTCTATCATCTACTAATGTTATAGAAAGAAACCTATGGATTTCAGCCACACATTTATCAAAATCCTCTTTTTGGCCAGTCTCAAAAAAACATTCTGCTTTTCGGAAGTAAATTTTTGGCTTCAGCTCTACAGGGTAGCATGTGTTAAAGCACAAATCAATATCCTTCAAACAGTTCTAAGAAAGAAAAAGTAAATATTAGTTTTTTTATGTATTGTATATCGATAATAATTAATCAAAGGTACATTTTTAGTTTCCACAAAAACGTCTTTATTTGTATAAACCATGAAAACAAACTCGTTCTTTGGACCAAAATTGTATATCGAATGGATGTCCAATGGACCTATTTGTGTTGTCTGGGTGATAGCCAGGCCAGGTATTCAACTCTTAATACATAAACCTTAAATGACATCCTGCTTATCTTTGCGAGAAAACACTTTTTTCCACAGAAATATGTAATAAAATTGAAAGTCCTTTTAATATAAATCCAAAAATTCTAAAATTATGTAAGTACTTTTTAGCTTTGAAAATATTTGTACTTTGTAAATGTTTAGTTTAACTCTCAAACTTAATGTCTTTTTGTTACTTAAATTTTTTTTGGTACCCTTAATTTTATTTACCTTATTTTTTCATAAGAAAAGGGTAATTTAATTTACTTAAATATGGGACTTTTATTACTTTTTAACTATGAATAAATCACATAAGGAACAAATCTTATAGATAAATAAATTATAAAATAATAAACATCTTTTACTTTTATATCAAATAATCAATTAGAACACAAGGAATTATATTTTGGTGCCGAAATCTCACTTTTGCTATTTACCCTAACTACCTCAATGTAAATAAATCACATTATAACATTTGTGCGTGGACTATAACAGTGATTTCAGTTAATTTGCCAAGCTATTTCACTCAGTGTAGAATATAAACAGGTTTTCTCAGCGTATTAAGTTGTGTACTGATAATATTCATGATGTGAAAAAGGTCCAGCCGATAACAAAGGCACCGACAAAGGCTTCTCCTTGATCGATATTCTCGGGTATTAATATGAACATGACAAAATGAAAAGCAATACCTACCTAGTGGTATGGTAAATACCTCAGTAAATACTTTATCAATAATTAGAACAGTCAAATGTGAAATCTAGAACACATTTTTTTCACTTATATTTACTAATTAGGTCATTAGTAGTACCAGTTGTTTAGAGTGAAAATTATTAATATATTTAGGGTGCTAACCTCATATTCTTTCATTTCAAATGTAACAGCTGATCTGTTGGCTAAGGCAAGGCCATACTCCCTACTCCCAGGTGTGGCTGTACACAAACTTTTAGTATAAAACTCTAGGCTCTTGAGCAAATTCTTTTGGGCATAACATTTGTTACCTTCTTTTCTGTAATATAGAGATAACCTATCATCCTTTGCAGCCTTGTTTTTGAATTGATTCTCTAGCCAAGAGTCGACAGGAGTTCTAAAAATAAATTTGTTTATAGATGCAATTACTTAATTTTCTATAAAAACTCTTACAGATCAAGGCTGTAGAATTTTGCGAAGACTTCGAAAATATTTCCATCTATTTTAGTGAACTTTTCGTTATAGTAGGCCAGTAAACACTCCATTATTCCCGTTTTTGTCTAAAAAAAAAGTGTATAGGGATGAGTAATTGAACAGATGCACGTTTGTAATTGAGAAAAGTATTTTTTTATTGAATAAAACTTATTTCAAACCATTGATTTATGCCGTACGTACCTTTAAAAATTTTCGTAAATCATTAATCTAAGGAATTTCTCATTTTATTAAACAAACCAGTACAATTTTTATTTCGATAATCTAGGTTAGACAGCAGCGTAGACAAATATGACAGCTACTGTCACTGTCCTTGAAATGGCCAGAACTACTTGTTTGAAAAACCTACCACGTATTTGAACTAAATCGGGGATCATTTTTATTATAGCAGGGGCAGAAGTTGGAAAGGCTTTTGCCAATTCTCCCACTATATACACATAAATTTACAGGTTTACGGCGGATCTAACCGAAGTGTACGCGATACATTGGCGTACAAAATTATTTTATAGATGTTAATAACAATTAAATAGTTTAATAAATTGTGCAGCTGTTGAAATTTTGTAGAATTATGATTTCGATATTATAATACATGTTTAATAATTATTTATAGTCCATAAATACTTGCGATTGTCCGGTTCCGCCGGTAACAATTTAAAATTACCTATTTTACGAAACGACACTGGCAGGTAGACATTACCACAGAACACTTCCTCTTAGAACGGTAACTCCCATGTTAGAAAATGGTGATAGAATTTCAGCGCCACCTGGTGGACGTGGTTGAGTTTTCAAGTCCGTTTCGGGTAAAAGGCCACAAGAAAGAAGAATAAGAAAAAGAGAAACCAAGCGCGGGGCCATTCAAATTATTTATACAGGGTAAGCCATCCAGCCAACCACCTAAAAATAAAAATGTTCTGAAATTATTAAAAAGTGACCTTACATTTCTTTAGTAAGTTAATAACGTTACATTAGATTTTAAAATATTCAGGGTAATCTAACTGTTTTATAATTACCTACAAAATATATCAGTATATACAGTATGTCCCCCTAGGGAATCATATGGAAAACTTTTTTATTAATTTTAGGAAAAAAAGTTATTCTTCCTAAAAAGTTCTGCATTATCTAAAACCTATAGAACATAGTCATCAAATATAAAAAAAATTCTGTGGTATACGAGGTTTGTCAAAAAATATGAGTTTTACTCAAGAGTAAAGTACCTTTATTCTTTATACGACTAATAAAATTTGATATCTGATGGTTGTATATTTTAAGATGTTTTTGTCAATGGACGCACGTACTTTTGTTGTTTTTGCCAAGGGTCCCCCATTTCAATTCACGTGATTTGAATTTCCTAATTAGCAATCAATATGGGCGCCAGTTAAAGTGCTTCCCCAGTTTAAATATGTTCCTTCCGCCGTCACTGCTTTTCAGTTGACTCTAAGCGTCCCAGGCACAGTTTATAGCTTAAAAGAATCAGTTCGCTCACTCTGCGTCGGCACTTTTGATCTCAATGTTCCAGTTTATACATTGCGCAACTCGGATTTGTATCCCTGGCGCATACATAATCAAATCATAATAGCCCACTGTAAATTTTTATCGCCATCTGATAATGAAATAAAATATACCCCAAAAGCTTGTAAAAACATTGTACTTTACCGAATGGCACCTGTGACAATCCCAATCCTGAGCAAAGTGTTTAAAAAAAAATATTTTATATTAAAAAAATCACATAAGGCATGACAGCGCTAATTTTGTTTGCACTTAAAGTTTTCCAGATAATAACATATTCAAATATATCTTGATATATATCGTTAACGACAAACATTTTCTTCCTCTTAACATCGCACAAAAACATCTACACACGATTAGTAGGTAAAAATCATTAAAAATATGAATCAATTTTTGCTGATTTAATAATTTATTTGTATGCCTATTGTTGTGATTCATTTTTACAGGTTGTCATAGAAACGACAAAAAAACTACCATGATTATGATTTAAAAGAATTGTCTAACAAGAGTTTATATAATTATTATTGAATATCTCTGCCAAAGTTAGGTAAAAATATTAATAATTCAGGTTTAAAAGCTAGGTTCACAATGAATTAGGATTGTAATTTTCAGAGAAAACACCATTATCGCTGTCATGTCTTATGTAATTTTTTGAATATAAAATAATTTTTTTTAACCACTTTGCTCTGGATTACAGATTGGCACAGGTGCAATTTGGTAAAGTACAATGTTGTTACATGTCTTTGGAGCATATTTCATTTTGTTATCAGATGGCAGTCGTAATTTGCAGTGGGCTCTCTTACTATTACCAATTAAGCATTCCAACAACCTGTCAGTGAGAAGGTCTGGTATATCTAAGGGGGTAGAGACATAGTCTTGCATCTTGAACGTGTTTTTTTATTCGAAATAATAATCACAAAGCCTGCCAATTTATGAAAAAATGTATCTTATTTTTATTGTGTTTGACATAAAATATTTAAATGTAATCCATTATTCATGATTTTACGTATTGTAAACAGAATATATCGTATGTCGCAACCCTTGGATATATCAAATCTTCCCACTGGCAGTTCATTTGTTTGGAATGCCTAATACAATATATGACAACCGCCTATATTCAAACAGCAGTCTTCTGCGCATCCTGAATTTATATCCCTGGAGTGGATGTTTTTTTTTTTTTTTTTTTTTTTTTTTTACGGGTCAGAGCCCATTAAAACAATACAATTACAGATAATACATATTACATACATTAAATAGTAATAAAATCCTAAATAATAATAAATTAATTTAAATACATAAATATTAAAAACAATTAAAAATTACTCCTCACATATACATAAATGGATAGAAAAATATGATGGAGAAGTAATCCATTCTACATTTAGTCTGTTAGCAGATCTTGTTGCTCTAGGAACATCCAATTAGTCCGAGTGAGCGAACTGATTCTTTTAAGCTATAAACTGTATCCCAGGCCCATAAATAAGTTATTTTATAGTGAATGAGTATATAGCAAATTTTGGCAGCAGGAGTCCTAGAAACAGATTAGGGTGATAGCAGAGCGAGAGGGGTACGTGAGTGGGAAAAAATAGGGAGTTTCCACAGTGAAATGTGCCAAACTTTCATAGTCAATTACAATTTAAAAAAAAAATGAGAACAGCATATAGATAAATTTCTGGTAGGGTAGGGTGTACAAATAGCATGTAACGAGATCAAAAATTTATTATTCTAAAAATAAAAAATATTCAAAACAGTACATAGATATCTTTTAAGCCACATGTCTTTATAAATCCCTATTAAGTTATAATGCAATGCGTGTCTGTATATTTTAAATGCACTGTGTAAAAATAAAAACGTGTAAAATTGCAAGTCGTTGCCATTTTAGTTACAAAAAGTAAGCATTAGTTTTCGTATTGGATTTGTAAAGATACTTTTTACAATTTATTCATATTTTGGTGTTTGAATATGGCATGGCACTATCATATCGGCCTACCAACCAAACTATCTTCATCTTCAGTCACGCTGGAATACACATAGTTTAACGTCAAGAGTGCAGACTGGTTCCAGTCCAAGCTTATACCAATATTACTTCATATTCTTTTTTCGAAATGACTATTATGAACACCACTTTTTATGAACATCACTTTAAATGTATTTTTATCATCTATACCGTTAGACAAATTTGGTTTAACTGCTATTTTGACCTATTTTATTCCTCAATCTTTCATATACCAGGATTGTATGTTCCAGAGTATCTGTTTGTCCACAGTAGCCACATCTGTTTTCTTCTGCAATCCGTATTAAAACGTAGTCCGTTTTGTTGTGATAGCATTTTATCCATTTACCAATCTCTGGAATCAGCGATTTTATCCACTGTACCATTTCTGTGTGTTCCTTCCTCTTTTACTGCCATTTGATCAGAGTTATTTCTCCCAGTTCTCTCTTGTAGGCGTTGCTTTGCCCTTTCAAATCATATTCATATCAAAATATAACTAATTTACCTACTTGAAACTTCCAAAATTGTTTACTATTTATTGCTTGGGCTGTTTTATTAAAAAATAACATTTTCTAAGGGGCGAAAATCAGATTGTAAGCTTATAAAAGTAGTAAAAATTAAGTTTAGTATATTATTATTAAAAAAAAAACTTTTAGATAAAGATCACTGTAGGGATGACAGCATAGAAGAGTGTCTATTCGTCTATTGATATGTCTTGAATATTCTTTTTATTTTATGCTTTATGCATTCAGTTTTAGGCAATTTTCTTATACTGCACACTTTATTATTAAAATCATCTTAATAGAGATGTATAAATTGTTTACAGCAAAATATTTCATATAACCTACACATCCACACAATCTCTATATAAAACTAAATAGTCTGTACGTCACTCCAAATGCTATTACTAGTAGTCTTTTCGTTTTTAATATCAAAACTAACATGAACACTATTGTCCAATCTGCAACTTTGTAAAAACACAGCCATAGAACGGTAGTAACCTTGCAGTTGCCAAGTCTCATTGTGAGTACCAGCAGGTATTTGGAGGAGTTGTTTCCTGATACTGTCGCAACGGTTGTGCAACTCTTGCATCATTCTGGGGGGTACTAGAGAATCGTCCATTCCTGATATGAACAATGAAGGTAGGCGGAGATATTTAACTTTTTGATATGATATGAACTGGAAAAAGATAAACAATTTAAAAAAGGATTGTGATAAAAACTCAAAATGCAAAAAATATAAATAAAGAGACTCAAAAATGGACTTACAATGGAGAATTAAAACAAAAACAAAATATCCCATCGAGTCATTAGTTTAGAAATTAGGCGACAAAATGTTGCTAATCTTTCAAGGTACTGGATTTATTGTTTTCATGTTTATTTTTATAATTCTAACACCCTGCATGCAGATGATAGAAAATGGTCCAATAATATTAGTTTTTGAGAAATATCTCCTTAGATTTTTGTAAGTTTATTTTTGAATCCCTATATTGCCCTGTTCTTACTTTATTTTTATAGAAAAATAGTGGAAAATACTGCAATATCCTCCATCCTAATAGAACTTTTGCCATATCAGGTATACTGGTAAAGGTATTTTCTACAATTAGACACATAACTTTGCCCATATATTCCTCTCTAGTGGCTAAATCTATAGCTACAGCACCACCTATAAGTTAAACAAAATATATTGTTGCATTACATTTTTTCAGGCATTCTGGGATCCACATAGAATATTTAATACCAGGCATGCTGGCTGGTTCTAGCCTAAGCTTATCCCTCTTCTTGTTCTTTTTTTCAAAATTACATTTTTTATGAACTGATGCACCATTATAATTATCACGAAAATTGCCCCAATTTCATTAAAATAATTTCATGATCAGGGCCCCCGCTACCATATGTGCAAAGTGTGCAATGCACACGGGCGCAATCCTTTAGGGGCGCCAAAACCCAGGGTCCAAAAAAATTGCAAAAAAAAACAAAAATTAATTTTAAAATAAAAGTTGAGAAATTAAATAGGATTAGGTATAAATACACACGAAATTTTATTAGTATATCATCCAGTTACTGCAGATTCCTATATTGCGAGAACATGTCAGGCGGTAGTTTCTTTATTTTTCCTGTTTAGACATGAATAATGCCTGGAGCGCTATAAAAGCGATGCATCGCCAGAGGCGTTTTTAAACAAGTATTCCTATTAATTTTTACATTTAAATTTATTTCTATTTTGTCAAGTGTTGTGTTGTATAATAGTTTGTTTACAACTTTTTTTTCTAAAAAATTAAGTGCTGAATACCTGCTGATTGCAATTTCAACGGTTTGATTTTTTATAAAATGGTAAGTGTTCCCTACTTTATACTATCAACATTAACCCTTTATAGGATACTGGTTATAATTAGTTTTTTTTACCCAAATATTTTTTTATTAATTGAAATGTCATGTACGAGTTTAAAAAAGTAATTGGTTTTTTATCCATAACTCGCTTAGTTTTTATGCTATCGATCTTTTTAAAAAACCAATTTGTAGGGTTTTTTAAGGGCCATGAGATCAAATTGGTTTAATATTTTTTCTGCCTTTATTTTTGAAAGGGTTTAAGCTGAAAGGGTTCGAACAAATTGCTTTTTACTCAAATATGCAAACTTGGTGTTTATTATTGTGCTTACTTTAGAAGTTAATTCTTAATTCCCATGAGTACTAATTATTTATTTGTTTTTTTTTCTTCAGGATAAAAGAAAGAGACCTTTAGGTGTGAAGTTTCGCGAGCAAAAGAAACTGAAACTACAAGAAAGGGAAAAAAATGGCTGGATCTTTAAAGCACTTCTTCCAAAACAATCATAATTCCACGGAGACTATCGATGCGACCGAATCTCAAGATTCTAAATCCGTAATATCAGTAACCGTGAGTGGACCATCTGAAATTTCAACAGAAGCGACCACGGTAACATCAGGTCATGCAACAAGTGGCGGCGGTTGTAGCAGCAAAACAGATTCTACTGATGCAGAGCCCGATGAAGCGATGACACCATCCTCGTCTACAGCACTTGAACACTCCACTTCCAATTCAACTTGTGTAAGAAGTTCGCTAATGTCAGCTAGCGAAATAACTGCTGCAAGTGACACTTTCGATGAAAGCTTTAATGAGGCTAGTGTCGATATACTTCCGCCCGACCCCGATTTGTGGCCCGAAAGAATCACCAATGAGATAGCTAGAATGGTTAAACGTGGTCCACCCTTAATAGACATCAGTTTTAGCTTTCCTAGTAATAAAGATAAGAGAAAGTTTTCGTGCAAATACTTTGTAAGAAGTCTAGCAAATGGAGAAAAAGTCGAAAGGACTTGGCTTATTTACTCTATTTCTAAAGATTCTGTATTTTGTTTTTGTTGTAAGTTGTTTTGTAAAACTCCTAACACCTTTTGTGATACAAATGGAGTATCTGATTGGCAACACTTGTCTTTGCTAATGAAGAGACACGAAACGTCAATTTTACACAACAGTTATATGAACACTTGAGTAAATTTAAAAAAAAATGTTGGAGACATGACTGTTAATGCTCATCACCTGCGGATTTTAGAAACGGAAAAAAAATATTGGCGCGACGTGTTGGAAAGAATTATTGCGATTGTTAAGTATTTATCTACACAATGCTTGGCATTTCAAGGTTCTTCTAAATTACTTTTCGAACATGATAATGGAAATTTTCTAAAAGCTGTTGGGATGATTGCCTCTTTTGATTCAGTGATGAGTTAGCACGTTGGCCGAGTGTGTAACTCCCAAAAAAATCTGTTAAAATGACTCATTATTTAGGCGTGCAAGTACAGAATGAAATAATTGAATTATTGTCGTCTAAAGTAAGAAATAATATTTTAGAAATGGTTCACAGTTCAAAATGTTTTTCAATAATATTAGATTGTACACCAGACACTAGTCATACTGAGCAAATTAGTCTTGTTCTGAGGTATGTTGTCCTTAACTCCACTTCAAAAAAGGTTGAAGTTAAGGAGTTTTATTACGTTTAATCCAATACTGGACTCTACAGGAGAAGGAATATACACATTTGTGACAGAAAATTTGAAAAAATTAAATTTTGATATAAAAAATATTAGGGGACAAGGTTATGATAATGGGGCAAACATGAAGGGAAAGTATGTTGGGCTTCAAAAAGGCATTCTTGATGCGAATCCGAGAGCCCTTTTTGTACTTTGTGCGGCTCATACTTTGAACTTAACAGTAAATGACGCTTCTAAGTTGTCAGATGCTACAATAAACTTTTTTAATCTTGTGCAAGAGTTATATAATTTTTTTTTCGTCATCCACAAAAAGATGAGATATGAGAAAAAAATTTCCCGTGTTAAGTTTAAAGCCTCTTAGTGAGATAAGATGGTCCAGCAGAATTAATGCAATAAAGCCGCTTAAACTTTATTTAATTAAGGTCTGCGAAAGTCTTCTAGAAGTAGCTGAAGATAATTCCTTTTACATTGATGCAAGACATAAAGTGAGTTCCCTCTTAACGTCTGTACAAAATTTTCAATTTAGTTGTGGAATTATTATTTTGCACGAAGTTTTATTTCATATAAATATTGTCAGCAAACAAATGCAAAGTGCTACAATTAATATTAAAGTATGCCAAACCTACCTAAAAAATTTAGTTGATCACTTCCAGCAATATAGATCTAACCAATCATTTCAAGAAATTGTTGTACAAGCGAAAGAAGTAGCACTCTCTCTCTCTCGAAATTGAAGAAGACTTTCCACCGTTACCAACGGTCAGGAGGAAATTTAAACCAAAACTGTTTGACTATGAACACCGAGATGAGACCTCTCATGATCCAAAAACCGTCTTTAAAATTAGTTTCTTTTTTAAATTATAGATCAAACTTTAAGCTCTCTAAAAAACCGATTTGACCGATTAAATGAGTATGATATTTTCGGATTTTTTAGCGACATATTTCAAAGTTAAAAATCATTAAAAATTATTTTAGATCGACAATGCTTCAAGAAAGATTGTCTGGGCTAGCAATATTAGCAATTCAACAAGAAATTTTTGATGGTATAAATTTTAGCGATGTAATTAATGAATTTGCAACAGCAAAGTCTCGGAAAATATCGCTAATACAATAATAGCTATTTTTATTTTTCTATTGTACCTAGCTACCTTTTTTGATTTTATAACGAAGTTACCGAGGTATTTGTTATCAGAAGTATCTGCATATTTTTTTAAATATCTAAGTATAAGTAGGAAGTAGTTATTTTCTAGTATTTATAAACAACGTGTCTGTACCCCATTAAATGCTTTAAAATGGGAGTGAACAAGAATTTATTTTGTTATGATTTTATTCTGTTTGTTTTATTTTGATATTTTAGTCTACAAATAAATATGACTTCTAAAGTTCAGTTTTTTGCTTTATTTCAAGCACCTACCTTCAAAAAAATAAATAAAAAAACTTGATCGAAAATGCCTTAAGGGGTGCCAAAATCCTTTTTTGCACACCGGCGCCAGTAGCTCTTACGGAGGCCCTGCTCATGATTAGTATCGACTTGTTTACCACTATCCAAGGCATCCAACTGAGTAACTTCAGAGAAAACCAAGTTAGTAGTTGTAGACTTTCGGCCCCAAGAACCCATGCTGGTTATTAACAAATATAGCTGTACATTGCCACATAAATCATTATAAATAAGTTTAACAAACACATTTGGTATAGAGATCTGATTGCAAACTTCTGTAGAATTTTTGATATACCCTTAAATACTGGAACCAAAAAAGTGGCTTTCCAAACTACAGGGAAAACTCAGAACTCTAAGGGCAAATTAAAAAGAATATAAAGTGGTTCCCAGTGTAGGTATCAATACTGGGGTGGTTAAAATAGACCATAAATACATTTTTTCAAGAAAATGTCATGTAGGCCATCTGGTTCTGGAGTTGTTTTAGTAGATTCATTTCAAAGTACCTATTAGGACGTGAAATATTTAATTTACTGAGATTTTTGGGTAATCTTTTGCCAGTCGTTTAGGGATTGTACAAAAAATTAATTAGAATAATTTGGAGAATGTGAATAGACCGTTGAGCAGCCACGTAAATTTCTTCAATTAAAACCTGTAAAGGGATATTTTTCGCTTCCACACCTGCTCGTGTTCGATGTAAGAAAACCCCCAGTGGTATTCAATGAAATTCAATAGGAATTAGTGGAATTTTTTTCTCTCCCCCTCTCCCGGTTTGTGTGGAGCCCCACGTTGGGCACCAAACTATAACGACGTATTCACAGGATTCACCTAATTAATCAAATAAAAGGTTTAAATAAACTAAATAGTTAAGCTATAACAGAAACAAACCCAAATAAACTATTGATCAAACGAATAATACTTTACATAGTGCTCCACAATTGTCCTATATAGTATAATTTTTCACGAAAAACCAGCCATCAAATTGGCAGTTACAAAGGATGAAGGTCAAATAAATACCATTAGGCAAAAATGGGCTGAAATAAAACTAAATAGCTTAGTTGTCTCTCTTTTTAATTTAAATTAATTAATGAATGCCTCACCCTCTATATTAATTTTATTTTAACAATTATTTTCCCCAATATGTATAATCATTATTCACAGATAATGAGCAAACAAATACTTGAATTAGGATACCAAATACTTAACAGTGAAAATAATAATAATTATCCCATAATGACATATGAGGCTCAGACATGTTAGATCACTACTTATAACTACAAATATACCCAATAACATGATGGTATACTAAATCTAACACACTAATAGGCCCTGGTCCCTGTGATCTCTACATAAATAATTAGCCTGTTACTCTGATTTGCTTGAGTAGAATATGTGATGAAGGCTATTTAAATTGTATCACATAAATACCTCACTGTTCATGATGGGGTGACCTCACTAAACTCCATTGATATGCAAACCTCAGCCTAACTCCTCAGCTGATGGGGTATGCACTATTTCGCACTCAATAAGCTAAGTGTAGTGTACTGTAGCTCCTCACTGTAGTTACAGTGACACAGGGACAAAACTGCTGCAGAGCATTCTTAGCAAACCAGCTATCAGCAAGAACTTTGGGACCCCACACAAAAAGGGAGTGGAAGAGAAAATCCCCTACCAATTCCTATTTTTATTCCACAGAATACTATTGGAATTTTTCTTACTTCGAACATGAGCAGCTGTTGAAGCAAAAAATATCCCTTTACAGGTTTTAATTGAAAAAATTTACCAAAATATTTGGCTCAACGGCCTATTTACAGTTCTCCAAATTATTCGAATTAATTTAATGAGCAATACCTAAATGGCTGGTAAAAGATTATCCAAAAATCTCAGTAAGTAAAATATTTTACATGCAAATGGATCTCCAACACACCTCTCATTTTTTTTATCCCTGAGTTTTTGAGAAACATGACTGAAAACGTAAAAACTCTGACCCCTGTATGCATTCGAAAAATACAAAAATATGTTCAGATCACTGCAAACCCTCTAACTACATAACAAGTTGAATGACGGCGATTCATACTGTTACAATCTCCACCCCTACTTCAAAAAAATCACCCCATAATTTTCTCCTACAAGCGGACTAGAGACACAGAAGAGAGAGAGATTGCCTTAAAACTACACTTACAATTAACTTAAACCTAGTCAAACTACACAAGGAGGTGGAAACAACAGCTACCTTCGATATCTTAACTAGATTTATATTTTTATAAAAAGAAGAAAACCTAAAGGACAATAATAGCTTCTAAAATATCGGGATAAAAAGAACTAAATACGAATAAAATAATTTCATTCCACATTCATTTAAAGATTAAAACTATGAATGTAAGTGATTTGTGCTCGGTTGTGAGTCTAATACATATTTAATAGAACAAATTTCAGGTCTTGCTGCATTTTGGTTAAACAAAAAGCAGATAATGCAGAGATTTAATCAATCAGCAACAGGATTGGAAAAACCTAAGAATTAAAAAATATAGGTAGTTTTTTAAAAGTTTTTATAAACAAAAAATAGAAGCAAAACTTACCAAATGGAATTCTATTGTATATATATTTTTATTACCACTACTAGACTAGCCCTATCACAATGAATGAAAATTAGTAACATTGTGACATCTAATTATTTTTTTTCTTTTAATTTGGTGTCATCAGCGTCGACTACTATGTCCATTAGATACGTGTTCTGTGCAGGCTTTGTTACTGTTTCCCAGCGCCGCAACAGCACTGTTAATTAGAACCCAACAGTGAATGGTCAAGTGGGGAATCCTACCTATGCATTAGAATTAATATTTAATTTTTTTAAATATTAATTCTAATGCATATCTTAAAAATTCTAAAATTGCAGAATTGTCCCTATTAGGTTTTGTTTAAAAACCTAGGTGCAAAAAATCTGTACCTGCCAATCCTGATCAACATCTATCAACCAAACTTTTTGCAGAGGTAATGCTAGATTTAGTGGTTGTTCTTTTAGTTGTCTATATTTATGTTATGTAAAATCAAACACATTTTCTTTAAAACTCTCATTCATTTACACTGTAGTAAATATTTTTAGGAACAACTAAGTTATAGGCAGTCCCATGTATATAAATAAGTTGATTATTTAGATGTATATTTTTATAAATTGAATAAACATTATTATTATAAATGAGTTACTTACCTAAAGACCTTCCAAAAATAATTATTTCTGAATGGTTAATATCGCTCCTAGTAAACAAATAATCAATGCTAGCTTTAGCATCTAAATAAAGTCCATCTTCAGAAGGGACACCTTCTGATAGGCCATATCCCCTATATTCAACTAAGAGTATATTGCAGTGTAAGTTGTGATACAAACCAACACAATTTTGCAATCGATGGCCTATATTACCAGCATTGCCATGAAAAAATATAATGGTAGGTGCGTTTTTTTGTTTGTCTTTGGGCTGATATATAAAGTACATGTGAATTTGTATTCCATCAGAGGTTTTCGTCATTACACTCTCATAAGGAAGATTAAATGTGGATGGTATTGGTACATACACCCTCGAATGAGGAGGTAATTCTGAATTATATAGTAAATTATCTTGGACTTGATACAGGATTCCTAAAAATAAACATGTTAGGGCAAACCACATAAAATTTGTGTAATTTTACCTGTGACAGCAAAAAATAGTAATAGTACAGCAAACAAGGTACCATATAAATAATATACTAGAAAACAGAATACCAAAACTAGGCCTGAATAAGCCCAAATTCGTAAAATCATCCTAAACAGAATTGTGGTAACTTTAGTAAATGGTACATAACCTCCCATGTTGGTTCTTATTTGATTGAAATTTATTAATGAAATAGGAACTTATGGTGTTTATTTACTTTTACATATTTGAAAAATGATTCATATTGTTTAATAAATTACATATGAGACCAATAATCTCTAAAATAAACATAACATGACAATGCCAAACAACTGTCATCTACCTACGCACAGAACACTTTTTACTCAGAACGGTAACTGTAACTACGTGGTAACTGCAATACTACATCGAGCCCACAGTTCCGCTATGAGACGTGGAAGAGCCAATAACAGCGCGCGAACGCCAAATTATAGGCGGGGCATAAAAGCGCGCTCGTTTTGAAAGTAACTGGGGAGGTAGCGAGGAAAACGATGAAGGTGTGCCTATGCTGAAACTGAGAAAATCGTTTTTTTTTTTACTTCCGAGCGTTGTCTCATAGGAAGCGCAAATAATACACAAAATTTATTATAAATATTAATTACACAATTACTAATATTTGACATAACTAAATTAGATGAATAATTACTACACTTTTAAAGGCATTTTTCTAATAAGCTTTCAACGAACAAATTCACCTAAAAATTACCAACAAATGATCATCTTGACAATTCAGACAATTAAAAACAAAAATTCGATGCGGTTATGACAGGAAATTTCCAACAAAACTGCCGGTATTTCTACAAGGTGTAAAGGAAAATACTTTTGTTTTAGAATTTTACTATCATTTATTTTACGAAAAATATTGTATGTAACAGTGTGAAAAGAGTGCTTTTCGCACTAGTTGCATAAATAACTGTTAGGTGTATTATAGAGATCTTAATCGTTTTGCAGCAACTGTTTACCAGGCATATATTATATACAAAAATCTTTAGATGGCACCATCCACCCCGAATTTGATCGTTTTTCCCGCCAACTCCTCAGTTACGATAATTACTTTTTATGCTACAGCTACATTACCTAAACGGTTTTTAAATTTAAATATTTCATTAGGAATTTTAAAAATAAGCAGTTTAATTTAAAAAAATAGTTTATTTAACTAATAACATTTTTTATTTAGTAGGCATTACGCATCTACTTGTATCATATGTATTATTACGTAATCGTTTTAGTTGTCTTGATGATTTTTTCTTAATTTTTCTTCTAGCTACAGCAGTACTTTGTATAGGAATTTTTCGTCCTCTTCGATTTTGGCCACTTCCTAAAAATGATTATAATTCTAGTCAATGAAATAATTTAAGAAAAGCTTTAGAAAATAAAGTTGTGCACATCCTTAAAGAAATCTATACAAATTTAATTTCAATTATTTGTGTTGCCAATTTATAAATTGAATTGGGACACAAAAAATAATTAATTAGTGGTGTATTTTACAAATCTAAATAGGAAGGTTTACATTATAGTATACCTAGTTCATTAAATTGAACTAATACAATTTCAACAATATCTGCTGTCAAGTTAAATTATTTCTAAACATACAAACGATAAATAAAAAAATACATATTATAACCACCAAATAAAATACCAAAACCGAACCAAACCCATTTAATTAAGTTTATAACATACCATAAACATTTCTAGAATGTTTGTTATTGTTTCTCTTTTTTCAGCATTGTACAGTGTAAGATTATTTTCTAAAAACATTTTCGCCTCTGTATCAAATTTCATAGGTCCATAATTTTCTTTAAACTCTTTCATATATAGATCATAACAGTATTTATAGGTTGGACATATATTACGGTCTGCCAAAGCTGTCACATAATCATCCCTGGTAAGCTGAATGTTACATTTAATCATCTCCAAAGCTGTTCCTGCTGTATGGCCATTCTTATAAAGACTTAGTAACTCTTCTCTTACATTCTTAGAAACTTTACGAAACCGTAAAGAATCTGCAGTATTGGTCATATGGTTGTGTGTTAAAATAAGTTTAACCTCACAAGGCGCCTCTTGTAAGAGTTGGAAATTTTCTTTCTTGCCCCTATACTTTTTTCTAATAACATGTATCTTTACAGTTATTTTCGAAGGATAATTGGTGTTTCTAGTTTTGTTTTTTAAGGACGGGTTGTAGGTTTTAGTGCACCGTGTAGAATGATGACACCTAAAATTAAATTTTCCAGGTAACATAATAATAAACTGTAATAAACCTACATGTAACAAATAATATAACCTACATTATAAATAAGAGCATAAACAAATGTGATATTTATTACATTAATTTACTACCTAATTTTTGTAACCTGTAAAATCTGTGTTTTCCAAAGGTTTTATTAATAATAAAACCTTTATTACCTTAGTCTTCTTTTCAGTTTCAATTTAGCTCCATTCTCAACGTCTGTACAGGCGATAACGTATGATGAACTTGTTGAATTTTCAAACTCCATCAACCACTTTCCAAACTCCTCTTCATTGGTGCAATTGATGAAAAAATGCAATTCTACATTCGGGAACTTATCTTCACCCTCTACTATTTTTTTACCAATAATTGTTGTTCCCCAACCAGGTGGAAAAACTGACTGAAAAATAAAGATTTAATTACACAAAAATCCTAGCAGTTTGTACTTTATGTTTATGAACATACATGTAGGTACCAATTTTCTCAGCAAAAATATTTAATTAGTAGTTATACAAAAGAAAACAAATATGAACTTTTACTTGAAAGGCTTAATTTTCGTCTTAGAGAAACAAGGTACAAAAATGTTGTACTTACATTAAATTCATCATTCAAAGAGGGTAGTGGCGCGATATCCATTATTTCGGTAAGCAACTATGGTAAAAGCAAACATCAAAACCACGATTGTACATGGATTGTATGTACACACACTATAACTGTAAATCATGGAGGAAGGATTATTACTGTAAATATTTGGCCGTGAGCAAAACCAAAACAAAAACTGGCACAAACTAACAAACAAAAATGTTAGGTTAAAAAATCTAACTGCTACGTGTTAATTGTCAATCGATCCCGCCCACAGTCGTGACGTATCCCGTTCTAATTGGTTCTTTTTAGTCCCATAACCAAAGTGAGTGCTGGATGTATCATTGCCGTGGTAACTACCATCTCCCAAGTTAGAAAACGGTGAGGAATTTCAGCACCACCTGGCGGACGTGGTTGATTTTTAAGTAAATCCTTCTCAGGTAAGAGGCCATATGAAAGCTGAAAAAAAGAATAATAAAAAAAAGCAAAGAAAAGCGCGGGGGCATTCAAATTTGACAGTAAAAATGATTTGCATAAAAAACTGTTAGCGATTTGTTCACACAAACTGCATTTTTGCGTTTACATCTACATTCAGATCTAATTCTTTATCACTGGATAAAAAATTCACATCTCACTCAGATGCATCCGATGTGGATATTCAAACGTGGCCGAATAGTTGTAAAATGATTATTTTGACAATTGGCACATTGGCAGAAACGTCGTTGACATTTGATTTAATGTCAAATAAATGTCGTCATTCGTCATGTCTCGAGTACACGAATTTCGGGACTCGGAATTTATTTATTTGTCAGATAAATATGTTTAGGAGATAATGTTTGTATATATAATTAAAAGTTTATCAACTCATTAGTTGAAATGTGTTTACATAGATAAGTACTTCAGATCTACTCTCGGCGATTCTCTTTAATCTAAATGGAAATATTTAATTTGATACATAAAAAATAAGCAAAAATGTCCGGGGGCGCAAATAGAAAAAAAACCACCCGCTCTCAGGGATGGGAAGAAGCTGGCTCTGAATTTTATCAAGAAAGTTACCCTGGAGACTCCGAAATAGAAGTTTTGCAGAGGGATCCTAAACACTTGCACACACTTTTACCAAGCAAACAAACTCGGGGAGGTAAATATATTTATATTTATGAATGGAATTATTTAAATAAAATAATCTATTTTTATTAGGAGCTACTATTCGTATAAAAACTAACGACTACAGGACCAATAATAGAACTATTAGAAGGTACACTGCCACAAGATCTCGTAGGGAGTCTACTGTGCACCGTAGAACTTCTTTAGCTGGTGAAGTTCAAGTATCTATGCTGCCAGATCTTTCTGAAATGAGTTCCAATGAACAAACTGCCTGGGAAGAAATTATGCAAATAAAATCTATGCCCATTTCGATGGCCGAGAAGAAAGAAATGAAAGCTAAAATTTTGGTAAGTATTTTATTGATTCATTTATTTATTTCAACAGTTTGCATCTATAAAAAAAATTAATTTGAAAGTATAAACAATAGAAATATAAAAGTACCTATAAGTAATATAAACTGGAATGGATTTTTTTTGTCATTTTAAACTTTTAACATTTACAAAGTACTTAACTATTAATTCCCATCTCTGTGTGTATTGTAGGAAGAGTGAAATTGAAAAAATAATTAGGTGTCTGCTCTTTATTTTAACAATTCTAGACTATTCATGAAGAGTGGTGTAGCTACTAGGTAAATCAAAATTTATTGATATTATAAAAAAAATTTTAATTGTTGATGTTAATTTTAAATAAATAATAAGCTACCATAAAGTCTGGTGACTTTGACTCACTGTCAAAATTTAAACCTAGTTTCAATTGTTAAAGCAAATCCAAATTCGCATATTCCTCATAATTTAGTCTTCAGTTATATTTTAAGAATTATTAAGCAAAAATATCTCAAATGGGGTGTGCAAAGCCAGCCGCAGGTAGAGGGCGACTTTGACTCGCCCATCATTTTACATTGTTTTCTCTATAATATTACTTGCTATTTTAAAGCCACCCATCACAGTTGATAGTAAAACACATTTTATCATTAAAAAAATATTTTTTATTGCTTACGGTAAAAATAACAAAAAATATTACAAACAACAGTATTGTTGGTTGCATACAAATTTATCACATTTCAATTTCGATTATTTTGCAATGAGTTAAATTTTTTATACTAAAAAAAGCGTAAGCGACCAATTGTCTTCAAATAAAGTGTTTTGGGTAGTTTTAATTCTTTACAGTTCAACCACAACCAGCCTGAGTTTTATTTTAAAAATAGAACATATAATTTTTTGGGAACAAAAATAACTATTTACTGATTTGAGCTAAAGTCACCTGTAGGGGTCAAAGTCACCCGACTTTACGGTACCTATAATAAAAAATCCAATCATTTTTTTTTTTTGAAAGGTGATTAGTCTTTATAAATTAAAAGGCAAATACAAGACAAACCTAAACCCCTTGATTGCATTTAGGCGGTACCCAGTGCATTTAATATATTTGTAACATCATTATGTGCTCTAAAAAATTCATACAACTTTATTTATATATCCATTTTTTAATCTTTTGTAAGTATTGAACATGAATCTTAGATTGATAAAAGCAGGTTCAGCTAATTTAAAAATGTCAACTAAACTCAAATAGGACAAGATAACTAGAACGAAAATACAAATCACTGAAACTATCTACACATTTTGAGAAGAAAATATAAAAGTTTTAAAAATATTCATTTTGTGTATAAAATTTGACAATGTTGTAATAATGTGTAGTTATTCTATAGGGTGCTTTTTTGTGGGAATATTCATCAATAGTGTTGGAAAATTACCGTAATTTATTTTTCGTTACGAACGTTCGCGAACTTTCACGAATTTTCGAAAATTTATGAGAAATTTGGGTAAACAATCAGCGCCATTGAAAGTTCTCACTTTTGTGGAAGATTTATGATCACATAAAATTTTATAAAAACTCAAAGGAACTGGGTGATGCTTCAGGTTCAATAACAATAAAAAATAAGCACATACATATTTATGCAACACATTATAGTAACAAAACATTTTAAATATTTTTAAGGAAACCAACCAGTAAAAAAGAACTAAAAAACAACAGTTATTCTGAAACCATAAAAATATTAAATGAACAAAACATAAACAAAACCTTTCGGAATTCGGAACATCAAAAACAAAAACTCAATTTTGGAATTTCTTCCATTTCCAAATCAGAAAAATATGGTTCATCAGAAGAGCCAGAGAAGTCTACATCAGACAGCACGCTGATACAACGTTTGTTATATCATCAAACAAAATTGTTTGGTAATGTTCACTATATAAATTCTCCCTAACTTTCTGATACATTCTCCTATGACTTCCCCAAATGGGAAGTGAACGAGAGCGAACTTTAGCGTAAATTACATGCTAAAAATACGTGCTAAATATTGTTTTTTGTCATTTTGATAAAGTAAGGTTTATCTGCTGAATCGCGCTTTTTAAAAAACTTAACAAACTTATTTAGATGTCTTGATATGTAATGAATTATTATTTTTTTGAATTATAATAATGTATTGAATTATTCATACTAAAAATTATACCTGGATTTTCGTGCTAAATATTGGTTTTTTGTCATTTTGATAAAGTAATGTTTAACCGCGGAATCGCGCGATTTTAAAGACCTAAAAATCGTATTTATAGGTCTTGCTATGTAATGATTTATTGTGTTTTTCAATGACACTAAGGCACTGAATCATTTGACCTAAAAATTATACCTTAATTTTCGTGCTAAATATTGGTTTTTGTTATTTTAATAAAGTGAGGTTTATTCGCGGAAACGCGCTTTTTAAAAATCTTATAAAACGTATTTAGAGGTCTTGCTATGTAATGATTTATTATTTTTTTGAATTAAAATAATGTATTGAATCATTCATACTAAAAATTGTAGCTGGATTTTCGTGCTAAATATTGGTTTTTTTTGTCATTTTGATAAAGTAAGTTTTAACTGCAGAATCGCGCAATTTTAATGACCTAAAAAACGTATTTACAGGTCTTACTAGAATGATACCAATGTAATGAAAAATTCTATTTAGAATGTCGTGCTAAATATTGTTTTTTGCCATTTTGATAGATATAGTAATGTTAATCCGCGGATCCGCGCATTTTTAAAGACCTAACAAACTTATTTAGTCATTTTGCTATGTAATGATTTATTATTTTTTTGAATTATAATGTATTGAATCATTCATACTAAAAATTATGCTTGGATTTTCGTGCTAAATATTGGTTTTTGTCATTTTGATAAAGTAAGGTTTATCCGTGGATTCGTCCATTTTTAAAGACCTAAAAAACGTATCTAAAGGTTTTGTTATGTAATGATTTATTGTGTTTTTGAATGGTACTAATGTATTGAATCATTCGTATTAAAAATTATATCTGGAATTTCGTGCTAAATATTGGTTTTTGATATTTTGGTAGAATAATCTTTTTCCGCGAAACCTCGCATTTTTAAAGATCTGAAAAATGTAATTAGATGTCTTGTTATTTGATAATTATTTTTATAGATACTTGTTTATTGAATCTTTGGTTAAAACATTGTATTTGGAATCTCCTGTTAAATGTTTTTGTTGGTTTTATTGAGTAATATTTATCCGCGGAAACGCTCGACTTTAAAGATCTAAAAACTATATTTAGATGTCTTGCTATTTAATGATTTTTTATTTATTTTATAGCTAGTGGTGTAATAAATTATTGGTATAAAAATTGTATTTGTAATTTCGCGCTAAATGTGTTTTTTTTTGTCTCTTTGTTCTCATAGTCGTTTGACGACAAAACACCTGACTTTAAAAAGACCAAAAAAATATATTTTAAATTATTGCTCGGCCATAATTTGTTTAATCAATTAACAAAAAACTAATGAATATTTGGTATAAAAATTATATTTATAATCGTATTGTAAATGTGTTTGTTTCGTCCCCGTCTTTGTGTAAGATTATCTTATTTTAACTAATAATTTCAACTTGAATTAATCCATTTGTTTCAATAAATACACTAATTTTTATTTATTTCTAAACTTTCATGATACTAAAGTCCACCTAAACCAAAGATTTTGACGAATAACAATATCAAAACATTAAGGGACCGCCGCGCGGTTTGTCTGCTAGTTTGTCTGCTAGTTTGTCTGCTAACTTCAGCCTCATATGTAAATATCATTTTGAGCAGATATGTTATTATGAACGTTTACTTTGTTTTCTTCCAAATAAATAATTATTAGTAAACCAATTTAAAACAACAATTATGCCATATCCAGTAAGTTTCTTTAAGAGAATATTACGATCCATTGTTTCAAAAGCTCTCTTTAAATCTGGAAAAACTGCAACTACATAATTATTATTGTCTATCTCCGTTCTAAATTTACATAAGGAGAGTTGCAGAGCTGCTTTACAAGAGTGTTTTTTGCGGAATCCAGATTGGTTAATAAATAAAATATAATTGTTTTCAATATGTTGAAGATTTTGTTCATATACGACTAATTCAAGCACTTTTTGGCAAAGTAATTTATTATATGTCGGAATTCAGAAGCATTTATTGTATTACTTCAGAAATTGGAACTATCGTACTTACTTTTATTTAATCTGGTACTGTTGCAGTTTGAAGAGAAGTATTAAATTTAAGATAACATGACCACACGTTTCAAATACTTCTCTTAACATTTTGACATTAAGGATTTCATAAATACATTTATTGTCCAATGACTTTACAATTACTCTCAATTCACACAATTACAACAACTGAACATTTTAATTTGAGGATATATCCTGTTATTTCAGTGGAGATGCTATCAACTATTTGAGTAATGCTATTTATAAAAGATGCATTAAATTTACTTTCAATTTCAGTTACCTTATGTTTGATTTGGCGTTCATTTTTTAAATTAAATTCAATAAAATTTGGAAAATTTTCACTGTATATATTAACTTTTTAAGAATCTTCCACATTAATCGAGAATTATTTTTATATCTCTCAATTTTATATTAAAATAACATTGTTCTTTTTTTATTTTTAGTAAACTTCAATCCTCATTTTTTTAAATGCTTCTCATTTTTCATTTTTATGAGCACCGGGGGTGGTCTGAAATGTTTTATACATTTTATCACATCTTTTATTTTATAATGAATGTTATTATCAAACAAGAAACTTTGAACCTTCATGCGTTCCATGTGTATTTTAAAGTCTGTGTTAACCTGTATATAAAAATTCCACAAGCACACATCAACTCCCAAGAACATGTTCAAATCTCCACGAGCATGCACCAACCTTCTCGAGTGTACACAACATTTTAAAAGAACTTGTGCTCCTTGAGTCTCTTAAAGTTTATGTTAACCTGTATACGTTATAAAAACTGCACATATCAACTCTCAAGAGTTTGTGTAAATCTCCAC